CAGTGTCTCTTTGTTCTGTTTGAACAACAGTCCTGGTCTATATATAGGTTCCTCATGAGTACAATTAAGTATTCTGGAATTCCCATTCTTCTCAATGTTATCCATAATTTGTTATGATCCACAAAATTGAATGTTTTTGCATAGTCAATAAAACACATCAAGTTATTTCTGACTCATAATGACCCTTTCCTTGGATTTCTGAGGCAGAATCTCTATGGAAGTAGATTGCCCTATCTTCCCTCTGAGGAGTGACTTGTGGGTTTCAACTGACAGCCTTCTGGTTATTAGTGGAAAGCCTTAGGCACTACACCACCAGTGCTCCCATATGTATATATATTTAAATAAGAAATGATACTGTTATTTGTACTCATGTGCCTTAGTTGCCTAGTGATGTTGTAGTACACATACCACAAGTGTTTGGCTTTAAAGAACATGAATTTATTATCTCATAGTTTTGGAGGCTGAAATTTCAAACCTGGGCATTGGCTCTATCCAATTGTTGGTAGACCTTGTTGGTAACCCTTGGAATTCCTTGGTTTCCCTTGGTATTTATTGGTCTTATTTGGTATTCCTTGCTGTCTGCTCCCCCACACCCCATGTATCTCTATGTCTATTATACTTTTCTCATAAGACACTACTTAGAAGTGATTAGATTTAATACCCAAAGCACTCTGGTATAAATTCATTAACACAACAAAAGAAAAAAGCCCATTTCCAAACAAGGTCATATTTACAGGTACAGGAATTAAGACTGCAATACATATTTGGCTGGGGGCAAAAAGGATAGGAGACACACAATTCAGTCAACAATACCATGATATCTAATATAGACCAGCTCATTTTAGGCATAGTGCATAAGGCATTTGACTACTAAACAAAAGGCTGGTGGTTTAAATCCACCAACCACTCCTTGGAAGGAAGATTGGGCAACTACTTCCATAATGATAGTGCCTTGGAAACCCAAGGAGAGGTTGCTATGAGTCAGACTCAACTTGACAGCAGTGAGTTTGGTTGGTTTTTGTTTTAGCCATCTCTGATAGATATAAGGAACCCTGGCTCAATAGGAGCTCTTGTGGCAAAGTGCTCGGTTGCTAACCAAAAGATTGGTAGTCAGAAACCACTGGCTGCTCCATGGGAGAGAGCTGTGGCAGTCTATTTCTTTAAAGATTTACACACTTGGAAACTCTGGGGGGATGTCCTACTCTGTCCTATAGGGCCCTATTGTGATGTAAGTGTTTTTTCTTTGTTTGTTTGTTGTTTGTTTTCTCAATGGTTAAGTGCTTGACTGCTAACTCTAAGGTTGGTGGTTTGAATTCACCTGCAGCTCCATGGACGAAAGACCTGGTGGTCTGTTCCTGTAAAGATTACAGTATAGAAAACGGTATGTGGTAGTTATATGCTGTTATATAGGAATAAACTCGATGGCAATGGGTTTTTGGTATGATGTACTAGTTAACTAATTGGGGGAAATTTTCTACAGAAGGAAATTCAAACTGTGGGAAAGTAGATCAGGTAAAGTCAAAGTTAGAAGGAAGTAGTCCATCTCATTCCCGAAAGTTTTGAAAGAGTCATTAAATTTATAGAAGGGAATATAAAATTAATTTTAAGTAATATAAGATATATTTTAATTTTATAGCATATATACAAGGAGCTCTGGTAGCATAGTGGCTAAGGCACTTGACTGCTAACCAGAAGGGTGGCAGTTCAAACCCACCAGCCACTCCTCGGAAGGAAGGTTGGGCATTTCTATTTCCGTAGTGATACTGCCTCGGAAACCCAAGGAGGGGTCGCTATGAGTCGGGGCCGACTCGATGGCAAATAACAACAACAACAACAACATATATACATAGGAATAATAGGAAAATAAGAAAGAAAATTTGAAGAGACACATGGGATAAAAATAGGGAGAGTGGGGGGGAAGGATCAAAAAATTATAAGTCAATTAATTTGACAAATACTTATTAAATACTAAGTATGTTTATACAATTCAGGAAAATACCTGGCCTTTTAGAATTAAACAATTTATTATCAATGTCAGATTTTACGCACTGTGACTATGTAGGAGGTAAAATAGTTTGGATGGGATTTTTTGGACAGTCAGATTTCTCAAAAACTTACAGTTTCATTATTAATTTTTTTAAGTGAAAGGTGTTCTGAGCACGCAATACACGTAATAAATGTTTCTTAACAAATGGAAATTGCCACAACTTGGTTCTTCATCTGCAGATCTTCCAGATCCTTTCTAGGAGTCTTCTCAGAGCTCCTTTGACATCCTTATTCCTTAGGGTATAAATGAAGGGATTGAGGGTGGGTGTGATTATGGAATAGAAAAGGGAGATAAACTTGCCCTGCTCTTGGGAGTAGCTAGAAGGGGGCTGCAGATACATGCAAATGGCAGGTATGTAAAAGAGGGAAACCACCAATAAGGGGGAAGTACAGGTCCCAAAGGCCTTATGTCGTCCCTGGGAAGACTGGATCCTAAGCACTGCACGGGCAAAGAAGCCCTAGGAGAGGAGAATGAGAGCTAGGGGAACTAGCACAAAGAAAGCCACCACCACCACAGCTAATGTAGCATCATTCACAGCTGTGTCAGCACATGACAACTTGATCATGGCTGGCACCTCACAGAAGTTGTTTAGCACCTGCTGCTCACATAAAGGCAACTGCACAGTCAAAGTCACCTGAACTAGGGAGTTGCCAAAGCCACTGATCCAGGCCACAGCCACAAGCATCTGGTAGAGAGAATGATGCATGATAACAGCATACCGAAGGGGTTTACAGATGGCCACATAACGGTCCAGGGCCATGGAAGCTAAGATGATGCACTCAGTGCCACCCCACCAGTGAAAAACAGCATACTGCACTGTGCAGCCACCATAGCTGATGGTCTTCCTGGAGCTGCCCATATTGAAGAGAATTTGTGGGACTGTGGTAGTGGTGTAGCAGAGGTCCAGGAAGGAAAGATGGCTGAGGAAAATGTACATGGGTCTATGGAGCTGGGCATCTAGCCTGGACACCAGGATGATGGCAATGTTGCCCAACATGGCCAGAATATAAGACACCAGAAGAATCACAAAAAGAGGATGTTCCAACCATGGCCTGTCAGAGACACCCAGCAGAATGAAGTTCTTAGGGGAATTCCACAAGAAACTCTGGTTGTCACTATTCATACTGATGCATTATCTGGCATCTGTAATAAATTGAGAACATCGGAAGGGAGAAAACTTAAGAGAAGGAATTTATGCTCTTCCTTGATAGACATTTCTGTGTGTATTCTTTCTTACTAAGGTTAGACCCTATCTGATATTGTTTTTCTCTGTAGAGACACTTGTAGAACAGTCAGACCAGGAGTCAGACCAGCTGCAAGTATGTCCTTTATCGACATTCTACTCTGTGACCTTGACTATGCCATTTTAATCTTTCTGAATCACAATTTCTGTATCTCTAAAATGGAGAGAAAATCCCTACTTTAACTAGCGGAACCTTGAGAAGGATTAAGGGGCATTATTCTTGAAAGTAATGGAGCTTTAATGTATGGATAACATGTTTCTTCCAATTTTCTCAAAGCTTGCTATTGCTCCCATCACCACTAGTATGTTTGACTTCTTCCTAAAAACACATGGTAGGGAATTGTCCACATCTTAAACTTTCTTGTTTTGTCTTTTTGAGGTGGTGGTGGAAGGAAGGTGGGAGGTGGCATAAAGCAAGTATTAGGGCTTTGTGAATAGTTAGGGGCCTTACTGATATCAATACAGGCTGCTTGCCTCCTAAGTTATCATCTAGCTCCACTACAATAAGGAGGTACACCATGGCTCTCTGGACCACACTAATTGCTCCTCTTCATGACCTCTCCACACAGGCATTCCTAACACTTGCTTTGGCAGTAAAAATAGCAAAAGGTTAGATTATCAGAGTTCCTTGAGTGGAGCAGCCTAGTCATATGTCATTTTACTATCATGGTTATAGAAACTAATATGACCCTAAAACATAAAATTTTGACCATTGGAGGAAAGCTCTTGATTAATATAACAAATGTAACTCCTAGAGTTGTCTACTGAAGGATCAGACTGCCTCTCGTTGTTATGTGCAAGCAAGTGAATTTCAACTCATAGCAATTCCATGTGACAGAGTAGAAGTGCCCAAAGGGATGTCTTGACTGTAATCTTTATGGCAGAAAATCACCAGGTCTTTCTATTGAAGAGTTTTGGGAAGGTTCCAACCACCTACTTTGTGTTTAGCAGCCTAGTGCTTAACCATTGTGAAAGGAGGGCTCCTTAAACTGCCTCTGGGGACTCTGGTAACATAGTGCCCAAGGCATTTGACTGCTAACCAGAAGGTTGGTGGTTCAAACCTACTAGCCACTCCTTGGAAGGAAGATTGGACAATCTACTTCCGTAGAGATATCACTTCGGAAACCCAAGGAGGGGCCACTATGAGTCAGATCCCACTCCACAGCAGTGAGTTTTTGTCTTATTTGTTTGTTTTAGTTTACTTGGTAAAGATTTACTGCCTCAGAAACCAAATGGGGGTCACTAGGAATCAGAATCGACTCCTCAGCAGTGGGGTTTTTTAGAGCTATTTTTTTCTGACAATTTGAGTGGTACTGGAATTAATTGAACAGCTCCATTTGCCATGAAACTGTCCCCTCTCAGTGACAGAAAACACAGTCAGTATGAATTTTGGATGCCATTATTGTTAGTAGAAGCTGGTTTGTCAACTAGTCACTCACTGATTCACAGGGACTTTCACTGAGCTCTGCTGTCTTCCAACTTCTTACTCTTTAAGCCTGGCATTGTTCATACTGCTAAGAATTTAAGGATGTGGTTTTAAAGTCACGATGGGGATAATATGGTTTATGATAAAACTAAAATTAAATTAAATCCTGTGTGCAGATAATTTATGAAAGATTAATTTTGAGTATTTTATTTAGTGCTTTATGCATAAACTGTGATCTGTTCAGCTTAGAGGCTGAAACAAATACATTTTCCCCCACGTTGGTCTTATACTCTAAAGAACTCTGCTATTTCCCAAAAGGGAAAAAAAAAGGATGTAAATAAGCAAACAAGTGCAAATCTCCTTTCCTCCTTCTATTATTTCAAAATTGCATAAAGTTTGTGTAAATTTTCCAATATTCTGCATATTACTCAATTATTGCTCTTATTGCCACAATTCTATCAGATATATTTCTGGTATAAACTTCATGGAATACAATTTTGCTTCTAATGAGAACTCAGGATTCTCATTTTGACTCAGTGAAGTATGGCTGGGAAAGTCAGTCTAGACTGTTTTTTAAGTTGAAAAGTCATATTGTCACTTCTCTTTCTGTTCTGTGTTATATTTCACATTCCAAAGTTTCTTTTCAAAATCTAAACTGGGGAAGAAAGGGAGAAGTTAGAGAGAAAATAAAAAGGATGGAGAAAACATAAAAGAGAAGTAGATAGGAGCAAATTTTAATAGAAAATGCAAATCACTGACTATGAACCAGGAACTGTGAAAACAATAATTACATAATTATCTTATTTATTGTTCAAATGACCCATTAAGGTAGATATTTTCACTTCCATTTTACCATTGTTCACAGTGGCTCAGAGAGGTGAATTCATCTCCTTTAATTTATTTACAAAGCAATAAGTAGTACTGCAAGGAGCTCTAGTCGCATAATGGGTAAGACATTTGGCTTCTAACCAGAAGGTAGATGGTACAAACCCACCAGCTGAGCCATAGGAGGAAGATAAAGAAATCTACTTCCATAATGATTTATAGCCTTGGAAATCCAATTGGAGTCACTATGAGGCAGAATCGACTAGATGGCAGTGGGTTTTTAAGTAGGAATGCCAGAACTAAAGCTCTTTCTTTAACCACTATTCTCTCCACCACTTTTCTTTAAAAAAAAAAAAAAATCTGATGACCTGAAAAGCAGGAAGAACTTCAGTGCATATAGCTGAGACAGAAGAGGATGCAGAAAAAAGGAGGTGAGGCAGAGCCATGTCAACAGAGGGGAAGAGGCAAGGAGATGGATCCAGAGAGGTTTGAGGAGAGAGACTTATTCAAAAATTATTAGTTCATTGTACCAGTTACACACACATGGCTTCTAAAATGAAAAGTCAAATTTTATCATATCCTGAGCCTTCTTACCCTGTCTTATGTCCTGCTGTCCAGCCCTTTCCAATTAGAGATCTGTTCCAGTTCCTGGCCTCTGTACTTTCTTGAAATATTTCTGTCCTCCTATGGCCTAGCAAGATGTGTTCCTCAGACACTTGTCAGCTTCTCTGGGTGAATGCATAAATTCCTAGGTCTTCCACAGTCACCTACAAGCAGGAAATTTCCAGACCTATGCCTCCAGCTCTGACTTCCTCACTGAACTCACCCACCTTTATTTATTTATTTATTTTTGGCATGATTTATTGATCCAACATAATTTTAATCTATTGTCCACTTCTCCCAAGGTCAAATCACCTCTTCCTAATTCATAGCTACTTCTGCATCAATTACCCTGAGTCAGGATATTCAAGTTGTTTCAAATAACGTTCCGGACCTTATTTACTATGTGTCATCAATCACCTTGTCTTATTGGTATGTCTGCATAATATATTGGGCACACAGAATCACCATGCTGTAATGGAGCAGAGCCCATCAGGACTCCTGCTAGAGTGCACTATTCCCTGCAAGTCTTCTCTTCCTCACGCCTTATAATTATATTCACATGTGTGATGGAGTCATCTTTTGACAACTCAGGTTTTTAGAAAAAAGATATCTTTAAGACTTGCAGTTCTCTAATAAATAAGGCCTCTTCTTAAATAGTTACCTTTCTCAGGGTAGACTGTATGTTTCTCACATGGTATCTGCTATAATCTCTTCTAAAAGCTATCACATTTCTCTTCCTGGTGGGGCAATGGTTAAACACTCAGCTTCTAAGTAAATGGTGGGCAATTCCAAACCAACAGCTGCTCCAGAGGAGAAAAGACATAGCAATCTGTTCCCTTAAAGATTACAACCTAGGAAACCCTATGGGATTCCTATTCTGTCATATAGGGTTGCTATGTGTCAGAATCTATTTGATGGCACTTAACAACAATAGCAGTCATTGTCCCAGGACATTTTAAAGACTACTTGCCAGTTAGCTCCCAGCTCTGGTGGCATAGTGCCTAAAGCATTTGACTTCTAACCAGAAGGTTTGCAGTTAAAAAGCCACCAGCCACTCCTCAGAAGGAAGACTGGGCAATCTACTTCTGTAGAGATATTGCCTCGGATACCCAAGGAGGGGTCGCCATGAGTCAGGACTGACTCTACCACAGAGTTACATACATAAGAAGTGCAATTAATCCTCAAAAAATACTGATTTAATTAACAAATTTAATGATCTTAAAATTATTCCTCAAAAGACTCCATATTCTAGCTTTAGCACCATCAATTACTCATTCTAGTTGGGGGCGTAGAGGGAGAAGGGAACAGGAAGGAGTTGAGAAACAGTAGTGACAGGACAGGCACTTGGTAACCATCCTGGGTGGTTCAAGGAGTCTTGTGTCATGTAGTTCATCAATGCAGGGGGTGCTAACATGGCCCATGCCTGCTCCCCACCCACTTTCCATGGTCTTTTTTTTTTTTTTTTTTTCCTGAAAATTTCAACTTGCTACTAAAATTTACCCCAATATTTGCTTTCTCTGGGTTCTGATACAATTTGCCTTTACTTCTCTAGTCCTCCCTTGTCATCACCATACTAGGCTTAATATTGCTCTTTTGGCAAAGATTCAACACATTAAAAATATTGGGATGAAGAGGAAAAAAGGCTCAGAAAATCTGCTCTTCCACAGGAGTGTCAAGTTGGTTTTCTGCCTAAAAGCATGCATGACCTCTTCTGTTCTGAGTTATTTTCTAGCTTGAAGTATACAACTTTAATCATGCTGCTTAATCAATTAATCAATGATCTATATTAATTGACTTTCCTGTCCTCTATCCCAGCAAAAAACTATTGCTAGTAATGTCACAGCCAACTGACCTCTACTTCACTTTGAAGATTTTAGTTTGTTTATAGTTTAGGACTAACCACTTACCTCCACGGCTCCCTGGCTTGTGCCAAGGAGCTTGGTTAAAGAATGGAGGTTTTATTAGCAGAAAATAATCTTAGTTGGGGAGAAACCTCTTGGGATTGAGTCACTAGAGATGTTCTTCC